GAACAACAGCCTGTAGACTCAAGGGTACCAGGTTCAATTCTGGTCAAGGGCACATGCCCAGGTTGTAGGCTTGATACCTAGTAGGGGGTACGCAGGAGGCAGCCGATCAATGAGTCTATCATATCACTGATGTTTTTATCTTTCTATCCCCCTTTTTCTCTGAAATCAATAAAAATAAGATAAAAATGGATTGAGACAAAAATCATCAATGAATACTACATGGGAGGACAACATAAGGAGTGAGGTATTTTCATACTCACAAATTAGTTTCCTACAAATTAGTAATTACAAGAAGAAATAGAAGTATTGATATTCTAAAAAACTAGATAATACCTTATCCAAGTGATATCTACTCTCAAATCGTTCAGGAAAATAGTATGCATACAAATTCACCAATAAAACATTTTACCCATCTGCCTTTTATCTTCCAAGCAGAAAATGGAATGTTATCTTATATTACACACAGTATGTATAATTGTCATGTTTCATCAACAGAACAATAAAAGTGGAAAAATTTTAATAAGAATCCGAGTGAAAAGTATGCAGGAGTTCTATTTAAAAAAAAAAAATTTTATTGATTTTTTACGGAGAGGAAGGGAGAGATCGATCAATGAGAGAGAAACATCGATCAGCTGCCTCCTACACACCCCCTACTGAGGATGTGCCTGCAACGAAGGTACATGTCCTTGACGAGAATCGAACCTGGGACCCTTCAGTCCTCAGGCTGATGCTCTATCCACTGAGCCAAACTGGTTTTGGCTGCAAGAGTTCTTTGTACTATTCTTACAGTATGGAATTATTCCTGTTAAGTTTTAAATTATTTTAAAATAAAGCAATGTACTCAACAAGGGTGGTAGTTACACAGTTGAGTTGTGATAATGTATTTAATATACAATTAGTTTATTTAAAAACAATAAAGAAAAGATATCAAAAGCTATTTAATATTTTAACAAATCTATAAGAATATTTATTCTGATCTATTTGCAAACAGTCATAACTGATTGTATGAATGTCAAAAAATATTGAGTTATTAAAAAGCAAACATAACAATACTTTAATTTCTTTTGTATTTCTCTAGGTCAGCATATAGCATTGCTTTCAATATTTAAGAAAAGTATCATCCCAAGAGATCTTAATCTTCACTTAAGGATATTTTTTCCATTGATTTTTCGAGAGAGTAGAAGGGAGGGGGAAGACAGAGAGAGAAACACAGATGTGAGAGAGACACAGCGAATGGTTGCCTTCACATGTGCCCCAGGAATCAAGCCTGTAACCAAAGTACATGTCCTAGACCTGAAACAAACCTAGGACCCTAAGTCCAAAGGCCAATGCTCTTAACTGGGTAGCGTCAAACTTTTTTTTTTTTTTTTTTTTTTAACATTACTTCAAATATTCCACCATTCCATCAATTAATAGTGTTATAAAATATTAACCATCTGTTACAACTATAGGAAATCAATGGCTTTCCTCCACTTTACCAATTAAGCATATAGAAATGGAAATAGAAATAAAAACTCCTCAGTCACATCAGTAACAATACCAGAAAACAGTTAAGAATAAATTTAATATGCTTGCCTTGGCAGCATATACACTCAAGTTGGAAAGATACATAGCCCTAGCACAATAAAGACATATAAATTCGTGAAGTGTTTCATGTTTAAAAAATATATAATAAATTTAACAAGAATGCGACAGAACCTACCTGAAAAAAAAATCAAAATAAGTGGAAAATATCCCCTAAAACTAGATAAAGACAGTGTGACAAAACTGCCAATTTTCTGAAACACATAAATGTAATGCAATTCTGATGAGAATTCTAACAAGGACATTTCTCTCTGTGTGTGTGTGTTAAGATTATATGACAAAATAACAGAAAAGTATGAAAAGAAACTGTTTGGGTATGTGGCATAGAAGACAGACTGCTTTATCAAATTATCAAAATGGTAGATTTTGATAAAGTTTATGAAATAAAAATAGTATTAGCATAGGAAGAGACAAATAGATCAAAGGAAGAGAATAAATAATAGAAATTGGTTCCATTATATATGAGAATATATAGTTGAGCCTAAAATATTATAGCATGGGGGGTTTGGCGGGCCCGACCACCAAGCAGTAAAAAATCCATGTATAGTTTAATTCAGTCTTCTGCATTTGCAGATTTTAAACCACAGATCAAAAACATGTAATTCCAGCCCTGGCTGAGTAGCTCAGTTGGTTAGAGCGCAGTCCTGATAAACCAAGGTTGTGGGTTCAATCTTCAGTCAGGACACGTACAAAAATCAACCAATGGCCCTAGCCAGTTTTGCTCAGCGGTTAGTGTCAGTCCGCAGACTGAAGAGTCACAGGTTCAATTCCGGTCAAGGGTACATGCTTGGGTTGCAGGCTCGATCCCTCATTGGAACTGTGCAGGAGGCAGCCAATCAATGATTTTCTCTCATCACTGATCTCTTTCTCCCTCTCCTTTCCTCTCTGAAATCAATAAAGATGTATTTAAAAAAACAAAAACCAACCAATGGATGCATAAAGTGGAACAACAAATTGATATTTCTCTCTAAAACTCAATAAAAACCCCCACAAAACACATAATTCCATTACATAAGAACTAAATGCCTGATGCATGAATTTGTGCACTAGTGGGGGGCATGGCCTGCGGGGATGGACCCGTAAGGGAGTGCACTGACCACCAGGGACAGCTCCTGTTTGAAGTGTCTGCCCCCTGGTGGTCAGTGCACGTCAGAGCAACTGGTAATTCCATTTTACTATTCAGTCACTGGGCATTTGTATAGTATATAGATATATGACAAGGTGGTTGTTCAATTGAATAGAATAAACAATTCTAACAAACTGTCTATCCATTTAAAAATAAAATAAGCATTCCAAACCTTACATTAAAAAATCCAGATCAATAAAAAATGTAATGAAACACAAAAATAGTGAGTTTGAGAAAATCTAAGACTGCTAGGAATCCAGAAGTATAAGATACAAGCATATACTGTATATGCGTATTTAAAACTTCTAGAAGAGCAAAAGAACAAAGCCAAAAAGCAAAAGATGCTCAAAATCATTGGCAGTCTGGGAATCATAAACTTAAAGTATTAACATATTCTTTGATTAATCAATCTCACTCCTGGAAAACGGTCAAATAATAAAACTGACAAAACACCGAAACCGGTTTGTCTCAGTGGATAGAATGTCGACCTGCAGACTCAAGGGTCCCAGGTTCAATTCCAGTCAAGGGCATGAACCTTGGTTGCGAGCATATCCCCAGTAGGGGGTGTGCAGGAGGCGGCTGATCGGTGTTTCTCTCTCATTGATGTTTCTAGCTCTCTATCCCTCTCTTCCTCTCTGTAAAAAAATCAATAAAAATATATATTCAAAAAACAAAACTGACAAAGCATAAGGAGGTGTACACACACACACACACACACACACATATATATGTATACCTTGGAATACTTAAGAGATGTTTATTATAGAACTCGAGGCCCAGTGCACGACAATTCATGCACTCCAACCTGCACCCTTTCGCAGTCCGGGACCCCTAAGGGGTTGTCCATCTGCTGGATTAGGCCCACTCCCCAGGGGATTGGGCCTAAACTGGCCGTCAAGACATCCCTCTGGCAGCCCTCAAGGGATGTCTGACTGATGGCTTAGGCCCACTCAGCAGTCGGAAATCCTTGGCACTGCCATGGAGGCAGGAGAGGTTCCCACCACCGCTGCTGCACTCACAACAGTCAGCCTCGCTTGTGGCTGAGCAGAGCTCCCACTATGGAAGCACACTGACCACTAGGGTCAACCTGCATTGAGTGTCTGCCCCCTGGTGGTCAGTATGCGTCATAGCCACTGGCCGTTCCTGGTCATTCCACTATTAGGGTCAATTTGCATACAGTATTACCCTTTTATTATATAGGATGGTTTATAATGGCAAAAAATACTGGAGACAAAGTAAATGCTCACCAATTAGAAAATGGTGGAATAAAGTGATATATTCACACCATAGAATGTTATGAAGCCATTCAAAAGTATTAGAGCTATTCTGACTTAGAGAAACTTTCAAGGATAGTAGTGAATGAGGAAAGCAAGGTGAAGGAAAAGTATGCCTGATTTCATTTCTGTAAACAAACAATGACCAAAACACTCTCCTTACATGAACAGACATAGTTAACACATATATGAGCATAGAAAAATATGGAAGGCTACCTGCTAGGTGCTTATATGGGTCTGGAAGAGGGAACAAGCAAAAAAAAAAAAAAATAATAAATTAAAAAATTTTATTTAAAAATAAGTGTGATCACATCCTATGTACAATGAAAATTTATGTAATTACTATAAAATTATGTGTCTGTTACTTTTTTAAAATAGATGCATTAAGACAGGATATAGACCGATGAATTCAATTTAAAGAAAAGATGCCTATACCATAAAACTCTCCAACTTTACAGGCTAATTCCCTATGAAAACTGGGAACAAGGAAGGGAGTAAAAATATAACATCATGCTCTTTTCTAATTAACAAAACAAAAAAAAATAAACAGATGGCTGGCATGGTTCTGTGGTTAGAGCATTGGACTGTGCAAGGAAAGGTTTTGGGTTTGATTCGAGGTCAAGGGCAAGTACCTGGGTTGCAGGCTTGATCCCTGCCCTGAGGGGACCTATAGGATGCAACAAATCTATGCATCTCTCACATCAGTATTTCTCTCTCTGCCCCTCCCTGCTCCCTTCCACTCTTTCTAAGAGAGAAACAAAAACAAAAAAACAATGTCACAGTAGAAGCTTTCTTAGCCAACTACTGCAACCACTCAACCAATGCTCTTGATTCCTTCCGTAAAACATAGTGACTAAATTCTCATTGTATTCTGGATATCAGTAGATGACAAGTTCCTATTATGAATAATAGCAGCTAATACTTAATGCCTACTATGTGTTATTATTCTCCTAAGTGTTTTACATAGGTTATTATTCCTCACAACCTTATGAAGTGTCCTTTTGTGTGTTTTTTTAACAGATGAGGAAATAAAACTATAGACATGATAAATTATTTGCCCAAGTCACAAAGCTAATAAGTGTTAGAGCTAGGATTCAAATGCAGCTAGTTTAGACCCAGTTTCCATATTCTTAACCAGTCTGCATAATGCTATTGTGTGTCTGCTGACCAGTGGAAACGTATCCTTTCAGAATACTTCCAAGAAATCAGGTGATTTGTTCCCAAAACTTGTTATAAGTCACCATTAGTTACTACTATAATTATGTTATTTAATTATATATATTACATTTTAAAATTGTTTCTATGAAAACTAAATTGATACTCAGAAAAACCTCAATAAAGGCAAATCATCAAAAATACTGTCAGATTAAATAAAGAAATATAAATGGTTTCAGAAAAAAATATAAAGATATAGATAGGCATTAGCTCTCAGATTACTTAGTTCTTCATAGAAACTCAAAAGACTCATAGACAATGCATTATGGATATGACTTATGGGGGGGGGGGGGAGTAGAGTCCAATGCAAATTCATCCTAAAAATGATGAAAACCAAATATTTACGTTAACTTTTATCAATAAAGATTTTTTCTTTCTGAATTCCCATTATAACATACTTGTTTTGATTAACCAAACTACTGGTCCCAATCATTTTGGATAAGAGGGCTTCTACTATATTTTCTCTAACAAATTCACAAGCTTTTATTAAGGTAGTGGAGCAAGTTCTGAGAAAAAAAAATCAAATCTGCTTTATTGCTAAACTACAACTTTCAAAAGTCAAACTGGAAGTTATTTTATGATCCTTACCCATCTTGTGTGGGTGGGTACTCGCATTCTTGTCCTTTGGGAAATACACCGTTAGGATACAGGTCACATATTGGAACTGAGGGAGGGTCTGTTTGAACTTTTGCTGTGAGATACAAATAAAGCATTACCTTCTGTAGTTAGAAATAAAATTAAGCAGTTATCATTACAGTTTTTCTCAGTTCCTAATGGTTGTGGTATGTCCGGATTTAAGGAACCTCCTTGCTGTTTGTCTCCTTATAGTTAAAATACCATGCTGGTCACCTCCTTTCAGATTTAATATTGCTTGGGAATAAAAATATTCAATTCTTCGACTCCATTATATATTAAATAGCACATACCTTGGCAGAAAGCACATTTTTAATGTTTTTGTCTTCATTTATTATACTGGAAATGGGATAGCTTATAAAGGTTGTCTTTTACAAATACAAATAAAAGCAGCAACAAGAAAATAAGAAATCTAGCCCTAACCAGTTTGGCTCAGTGGATAGAGCATCAGCCTGAGGACTGAAGGGTCCCATGTTCGATTCTGGTCAAGGGCATGTATCTTGGTTGTGGGCACATAGCCGACAGGGGGTGTGCAGGAGGCAGCTGAATGATGTTTCAAATGCTCTATCCCTCTCCCTTCCTCTCTGTAAAATCAATAAAATATATTAACTTAAAAAAGAAAAGAAAAAGAAAATAAGACATTAGTCCTAATCGGTTTGGCTCAGTGGATAGAGCGTTGGCCTGAGAACTGAAGGGTACTAGGTTCAAGTTCAGTCAAGGGCACGCTGAGGGCATATCCCCAGTAGGGGGTGTGCAGGAGGCAGCTGACCAATGTTTCTAACTCTCTCCCCCTCTCCCTTCCTCTCTGTAAAAATTCAATAAAATATATTTTTTAAAAGTTTAAAAAAAAAGAAAATAAGAAATCTTATAGCAATAAAGTAAAAATATAAAGTTGTTATGTTAATAAAACAAGTTTAAAAACTTATTTCAAGGTTATAATAGGTATAAAGTTCACTCAGTGCCTAAAGACTTTAGGTAGCCATACACAAATTTCCAAATACTCGAAAAAAGTTAATACCGTATTTTTCGGACCATAAGACACACCGGACCATAAGACGCACCAGTTTTTAGAGAAGGGAAATGAAGAAAAAAAGATTCTGAAACAAATAGTGTCCTAAAATATTTTATGTGCATTAAAACCCAACATCACAGTCATAAACACATGTAATCAACCCTGTAAAGTAAACAGCAGCATTTAGAACCATTTTAGAGCCGGGCAAGCACACAGAGACCACACAGAGCCGGGCAAGTAAAAAAACTTTTTTTTTAAAGTATATGTGTAGGCTATATTTGGACCATAAGACGCAGGGACTTTCCCCCCCCACTGCTGGGGGGAAAAAAGTGCGTCTTATGGTCCGAAAAATACGGTACCTACATATGTTTTAAGGACATTATTTCCCAAACTATGTACTAAAACACCAGCTTTCAAGATGCTTTTTATGTTTTGGTGTTGTTGTTTTTTAATATATATATATATTTTTTTTTTTATTTCAGAGAAGAAGGGAAAGGAAGTGAGAGAAACATCAATGACCAGAGAGAATCACTAATTGGCTGACTCCTGCATGGGGATCAAGCCTGCAACCTGGGCATGTGCCCTGACCAGGAATGGAACTGTGACCTCCTGGTTCGAAGGTTGATATTCAACCACTAAGCCACACCAGTGGGGTTTCAAGATGCTTTTAAAAGGTAGTTAAGAAATTTGTTTTCTAAAATTTCCCCCAAATATATGAACTAGTGGTATAATTCTTATCACATGAAGAACTGCTTTTAGTAACAAATGCTATATCCAAGGAACGTCAGGAGGCTGCATGGGTTATTTTATGATTTTCAATGTAAAATTTATCAACTAAGTTGAAGTATGTGGTTTCCTTTGGATTATTACTTATGTTATTGATTTTTTAAAGTTTTAACACGTATTTTGCTCTTTTGTTCTGAAAGGGGAGAAAAACAATGTGCATAAATAAAAATATGATTGTTTATTGAGCCAAATCATTTACCTACAAAACCATTTTTTGTTTTGTTTCCTCCTTTAACCCACATGCTCAATATCACGAGCGTCAGCCAACTGGTTTAAATGGGTTCTATGGGCAAATAAACTTGGATGATTTTTTTTTTACATTTCCCCTAAAAGAAAATAGTAGAATTTAAAAAAAATCTTAGAGGTCATCTAATTTAGCTTCACACTCAAATTTAGTAATCCTGTTACCCTTGACAACAGAGGCAGTCATTATCTTCCCAGCTAAATCCATTCATTTTGGGTAAACCAAAGTATTATCTCATCACCCTCAGCTTTATCCCATCTACAAATCTGATAAAGATGCTTTTTATGATGTCCACAAATTAAAGGATTCAAAGAGATCATTAGAGAAAAAAATTAAAAATCTATAACCAAAATATCAATCAGAGTTGAAGTTTAGCTGTGATTTTACCACTTATTAGCTGTGACTTGGACAAATGGCTAAATGTGCCAAGCCTGTTTCCTTATCTACAAAATGAAGAACCAGGTGAAATTTTGTATAACCTTTGAAAATTATAATGTATTACATTCAATTATCTAAAACAATGGATAATTATAATAATCTGTACTGAAGTTATCATTAACTATTACTTATAATTCTCCCACTTTCTAGATGAGGATAATAAACTTCTGAATGTACATTATTTGGTTTATTCCAGAAGTGATATATGATAGTCTACAAGAATATCTAAAATACACAAACTAGAGGCATCAAAGTAAATAAGAGAGCAAAAATAAAAACATGTTAAGAACATAAAACAGAACCTGAAATAAGGCCAACACAAAACCACAGATATGGCTCTAGGCCCGTTAGAATAAAAATATAAAACAAAACATAAAAAAAACTCTAGGTTATTTGCATAGTTCATGTTTCTGAGATAAAATTACTCAGGAAAAGCAAAATTATTCTTAACATTAAGATCAGACAAAAGACTCTCTCTTGAGAGTGCTCATAAAGAAATATAATAAACATTAAGTTCAACATTGTCCTCAAAGGAGGAACAATAAAGGCTGGTGGCGGTGGAAGAATTCTACTAAGAGCAAATACAAAGGCAGCCCCTTAACACTCCTCCCTGCTTATTTACCTTCATTAGGGAACAATTTTAAAGTATTTAGAGAAATTGATATTATCTTAAGCAGTTGTTGGGTAATAGCATGTCTCATGGGCACACTTTTAACAATTTTTGAATGGAAGAAATATGGTATCATAATCTCTAGAAGATTCCTGGAATACAAGTAACCTATATTCATTAAATACAGACTATGCTAGGGGCAGGACTGACATCTTTGAATAGAAGCATCTAACATGGACGCATGCCTGAATAAAAAGAAGACTATCCCATCTCTACCTGGAGACATATCAGGAAAATGGCTGGCAGAGCCATTATCTTTCTTAAACAATAATTTAAATATTTCTCTCAACACAGATATAAAAAGGGAAGTTAAGTCCCCAATATCCTGATTCATAAAATTTAGCATGAAAAATTTAAAAGATATAATCAGAACTCAGTAGCCCCCAATAGTTCAAGGGGGCTGGCTTGTCTAAAATAATAACTGTTCTGATTCTCAAACCAACTTTTATTCCCCAATACTATATAGGCTTCCTCCTTAGTCTGCCTAATAGAGTTTAGGTCCCTGAAGATGTCTGATTATGCCATTTACAAAAACGAACACAAGTAGGATAATATTTTAAGTAAATCTGAAATAAGTGCAATATAAATATTAATAAAAATTTTACCATATGCACAAGTTTTAAATAATGGGGCTCTTCATTAAATATTCATCAAGAATTTCACAATTTCAAAGCTGGCAGATAAACTGCAAAATTTGTTTATCCTTTTACCACATAGTGGTACTTAAGTCATCCCCAACAGACTCATTATTTGAATTATTCAAGATTTAAATCATAAAGATTTTAGGATTCATCCCTAACTTACAGTAAAATGTAACAATCTATTATTAATATTCCTTAGCTGAATATCAGCTAAAAAAAATGCCATCAAGATTGTTACACCAAAGTACTTGCAAAATATTTATATCACTAAATACTACCTCTAAGTAAGCCTAAATTTATTTCCCTGAAATATACCAGTTTCTTAAGCAACTTCAAACCCACTGCTTAATACTTCTAATTTGTCAAGTAAGATTAACTTAAGACACTAACGTCCTTTCTTCTTCTTCTTCTTTTTCTTCTTCTTTCCACTTGCTCCATCTCCATCACCTTCTCCATCTAAGAAAAGATAATTTCAAATGCATATTCATTAAAACCTGTAGAAGGATGAAGCAAGCATAGACAGGTGTATATACACATACACTGTATCTGAAATAGCATATGACAGAGTTGACCTAATACTCTCATGACTTCTTATATTGCTAGCTTTAAGTATCAAAATTTGACTTGTGTAATCAAAAGTTCTACTCAACTGTCTGGCTGGTGTAGCTCAGTGGTTGAGCGTCGATTCATGAACCAGGAGGTCAGTTTGATTCCCAGTCAGTGCATGTGCCCAGCTATCGGGCTTAATCCCCAATAGGGGGTGTGTAGGAAGCAGCTGATCAATGATTTTCTTTCATGATTGATGTTTCTATCTATCTATCTATCTATCTATCTATCTATCCCTCTCCCTTTTGTTTGACTTACTCTATTAAAAGAAATGCTGATAAATTTTAAGAAAAAATATAGTAAATGACATCTTTTTTAAAGAATTAGGAAAAATAACTAGTGTTAGTTTAATATCAATAACTGTGACTTCAGCTAAAATACTAGTTACAATTTACATATGCTTAAACACTTGTGTTTCATGACCACATGTGATCCTAAATACAACCCTATAAGGTAACAAGGAGTGTAGGAGTGTTTAAGGGACATGCCCAAGATAATCCCAACTGGTAAATGGCATAATTGGACCAAAAATATAACACAATGCAGGTATTT